ATTTGGTGCTCAAAATTTCACATCTAACAGACCTGATATTACAAGGCAGGTGTTCCCCAGCAGAACCCAAGCAGCCCATGGCTGTCGGACCCTGGTCCCTGGCCACGCTGATGAGGAAACGGATTGTGAGTGGGAGCCTAGGATGTTTTCTTGGAGCTCATTTACTCCAGAGCCAGACTAACAGTGCTGTGCGCTGGAATGCAGTGCAGACGGAAGACGAACGGGGCCGAGCGGGGGCTACTTGGATGTTGTTGATGATGAAGGAAACCAAAGACCCACGAGGCGGGTTACCCGCTGTTTGCAGTGACTGCAGGCTCTCTGGGGTCTGTGTGCTTCCTCCTCATCTGCCCTCGCCCTCCATTAAGCCTACTGCTGGATGGAAAGTAGATTGCAAAAATTGGACTAGAACCCAAATACATAATCCTCATTAATCTTTTAGATTCTTGTCCCATTTTTTAAAGCCAGTACTTGGCACACAACCCAGAGTTATATGGCAAGCAATAATAAAGTTAATTGGAATCTAGGTCTCTCAACTTTTTTTTCTTCTTTCAGCAGTTTCTTGGGGCTTTGAGTTAAAGATTGCTGTTCTAGCATGAGAAGGTCATTTGGCAGGTATTGTTTACAAGTAGGACACCTTTTCGGTCAAGTTGTATTGAAGGTCTGGGGCCCAGGCATCCTGGGCGAGGGAAAGAGCAGGCTGGTAGACATGGGGTGAGAGAGGCGTTGGGGAACAAGGCCCAGTATCAGCAACCCGAGAGGGACGGGAGGGAGATAGGGAGTTAGAGACTTAAGACTGGGGTCGTTGGCTTTCCTCACTCCACCAGTGTAGCTGGGACAAACACCTCATGGGATTTAACAAAAGGACAGAGCTCTGTTGTCTCTCAGTCTAACAGAAAGAGGGATTGACAACAAAGATGACAATATAAAGAGGATTCAGATGGGGATAGAACAATTCATATGGTCACAGCCTGCATGCCCCTGTGTCGAGACAGAGGAAGCCGAGACTACCCCCGCCTGCGGAAAAGAGGCTCCTCAGGAGGACTGCCCAGAGCTGACAGCCCTGGGCAATTGCAGGTACTTATTCATCCCTGCCGCCTTCTCCCGCACTGTCCTGCCTCCCTCTCCTCAAGCGGTTGACACAGTTAGAAAATCAGGACAAATAATTTACTTCAATCCATCTTTGTCTTTCTTGAGGCTTGTGCAATTCAGTCTGGAGGGAGAGGGCAAAAAATACCCCTGACCCTGGTCAGTGAGCCTGTTAAAAAATGCGAAATCAAAGCCCTCTCTAGGCGGAGAGCCTGTCTGCTGCTAAGAGGCAGAGGACAGAGATGATGATGAATTCTTATGTGGTCTCTGGGCCTGGAATGCAGCCGTCAGCAGTCTTTCCCTAAAGACTTGCACAGCCAGGGTGACGTCAGCAGTCACCTGATGGATGGCCTGGGCACAGCCATCTGGTGAGGCTGGGGAGGCTAAGGCTCTGCTCGTCAGCCATGTGTCCCTGGGGATGGGGAGCACTGTCCAGGCGAGGCCAGCTGGGCACCCCCCCTCCCCCAGCAGGAAGCTCAAGCTCTCCTTGGAGCAGGCTTGGCCTCTGATGGCACTTACTGGACGTGAGAACTCTGTCATCAGCAGGGAGTTGGGAAGTATGCCTGTGGAGAAGAGCTTCGACGTTCTCACCTGAAAAATGGGTACTACATTTGCATGGCAGTGAGTTGAGGCTCTGCAGGATTGATTGTTGAAAGGGCCAGCTGGTAGTTGTGCAGTATGGAGGTTGCTGGCCTCACAAGCCAATGAGTCTGGAAGAAGATACAGATGAGGAGGGAAGGGAAATTAGAGAACCCAGATGGGGCCTGAGGTGTTGGCTGCCTTTCCCCTCTCACTCCCTCAGTGGGGCAACTAGCCTGGCGTGCGCATGTAACGGATGGTAGCTGTTTCTATCTGTCACCAGCCTCTCCAGTGTGCCAGCTCTGCACAAGGCACCCTGTGGGAGCCAAAAGAAACAGTGGGAAACAAGATCTTCAGCCTTAGGTGTTTGGTAGTGTCTCTGGGACACACCATGAAACAGCTGGTCAGGGAAGTAACAGTGCAAAGCAGAGTGTATTTCTGAGCCAAGGCAGTAGTAACTGTTGGGGCAGAAAAGAAGACGTGGAAAGTGTAGGCCCAAGAAGTCTATTGTGTGTTTCCCATGGGTGGGAGCTGACAGCTCCCCCAGCAGCAGAAAGAGGGGTGGGAGAGAGTGTCTGACCTCAGAAGCCAAATTCAGTTGCTGGTAAATCTCAGGAACATCTCATGTTCCCATTTGTACAAATGGTAGAAGGAAGGCTGTCTCTTTCCCTTCCTCCTCTGCATTGGTCTTGGCTTACAGGCAGGTTGACCAGACTGATGCCTGCTCCCTGACACTGGCTGCTGCTTCTAGCTTGTACCTGGAGGGGAGGTTTACACAGGCTAACACACGCAACACCCATCAGCTGTCTCCCCCTCCCCTCCTCTCCAGTGTCCCCTGAAACATGGCCAGTGGAGTCTGATTTGCTCCTAGCAGCCAGGTTATGGTGACAGGAAATGGAGGCCTCTCTGTGCACAGAACGTCACCTCCCGCTGCCCACCTGGGGGCAACCAGGAGTATGTGTTCCAAACAGGCAGTTGTCAGATGACCTGAGCAGCAACACCTCTAGTGTTTGTGTTTGGTTTTGTTTTTAGACATATGATGAATACATTTTATACAGCCCCGGTTGGAGGGAGTGGTGCTGAAATAGATTAGCTCTGAATACTTTCCAAAAATGGAATATTTCTAAGCATTTTTTGAATACATGAATCCATTATTGTGATAACCGTCAGGAGTTCTCTAATTTAGTTTGTGTGAAGCTCAGTATGAAAATATGGCTATTTCCCATCTCTCCCCAAAAATGACAGATTCCACCCAGCCTGCCCCCCACTCCCACCGGCAATCCCCACACCATTGTCCATGTCCATGGGTCATGCATACATGTTCTTCGATCCTTTTTTTAAAAAGTTCTTTTCTGTAGAAAGAGTCCCAAGGTGTATTATTAAACAGAAAATGGAATGCCTCTGGCAGTGTGGGAGGTGGAATACATTCATATATTTGGTTACATGCGAACTGAATAGACCTAGGACACTGGAGAAACTGGTTATACTGGTTTCTTCCAGAGAGAAAATCTAGGAGCCCGGAGACAGGGGCAGGAAGGAGAGTTTTCTCTGAATATCCTTTTGTGTCTTCTGAATTTTAAACCATGGATGTTTTACCCATCAAGAAATAAATGTAAGTAGCCCTGGCCCGTGTGGCTCAGTTGGTTAGCACACCACCCCACAGCTAAAAGGTTGCAGGTTTGATTCCATGTCTGGGCACACATGATCCCCGGTCCCAGCAAATACACGAGGCAACCAATCAATATTTCTCTCTCCCCCTTCCTCACTCTCTAAAAGCAATGAAAAAAAATCTCCTTGGGTAAGGATAAATAAATAAGTGTAAGTAAAATTATTTTTTAAAACTTTAAAAATAAGTTTTACTAGGCTAGAGCATTGCAGATAACAGAAGGGACATGGAAAGCAAACTTATCTTTTATTGAGCATCTACAGTAAACCAGGTCTTTGACTGCATGCTTTATGTACATGTTCCTTTTTGTCCACACAACCCTTTGTGGGAAGCAGGATCTGTCCCCACTTCCATAAATTGAACGCTGAGGCATTGGGTGTTGAGAGTGCTCCTTGTACATCGGGGAAGGAGGCAGCAGGAGGCGGCCAGGGCCAAGGAAAGGGAGGCACTGGTGGGCAGGTGGGCGGGCAGAGCAGACCTGCTGTGGGGCCGCCTGGCCAGTGCGTGGGCACCCCCCACCACCTACTCCACTGGTCAGCTGTCATGTTTCCCTTTGTTCTTGCTGAGCCCAGGGACAAGAATTGCAGTGCGCAGGTGTGCGTTAACAGGCAGTCGTTTCTGTGGCTGGCGAATGCCCTCCTCTGCTCCTCTGCTGGGTGTAAATGTGCCATCTTTGTCTGCCAGCTACAGGATGGCTGGAGAGTTGTTTTTCTGATTGTCAGATCCTTACTTGCACTTAGAGGAAAGCTTCCAAACCCTGGTACAAAAGGTCCTCTTTCCATTTCTTTGGAAAAAAGAACAGTGAATTGAGCTCATTATCACTGCAGCCCAGAAAGGAGGAGGAGGGGAAGAAGAGAAGGTGGTCTCCTCCTCACTGCACTGTCCCACCTCTGGCTAGTTTTCCTGGGGCGGGGGGCTTGCGTCTGGCTCAGCATGACCGAAGCCATATGGCTGGGGTGGGCGGTCCATACAGGGGCGGTGTTGGAGACATTAGATGTGTTGAGACCAGCTGTCTGCTGAGGTCCAGCGAAAGACAAGTGTCTGTGCCCTTCTTATCCCTGAATGCAGAGCTGTCTGGGATTGCTGGCCTCCGGGGAGCAAAAAATCCTCCATTTAGGATCATTTACAGTACTTGTCTCAGCTCTAGAAAGTGGCCTCACAACCCAGAGCTGGCGTTCATACAGTATCAGCGATCTGGTGAGTGCTTATGATTTGCCAGGCACTGCTCTAGGCACCTGGGGTCTTACATATGACAAAGCTGGCAAAGTCTCTACTCTCATGGAACTAAAATGCTAGCATGAGCAGTGAAATGTGCCAGGTCTGGCCTGCTCTTGCACCCTCCGCTCAACCTCTGCCTGGTCTGGGAGAACTGCGGAGAGGGGAGACACAGAAATGCCTAGGAAGAGAGGCCCTTTGGCATTCCCAGCAGCCAGGCCCAGGTTGTTACCTGCTCACTCCCTTCAGAGCATGTTTTTAGACCCTACTGGGTCATGGCCAAAGTGGTTCTTTCTTAACCTGAGTGGCACAGAGTTCTGATACCTTGCAGGTTGGTGCCGGATTTGGAATAATCTGGAAGAACCCTGGAGGCCTGCCCAGTGCGTTGATGGTGAGCTGGCCTTATTTAATCCAAGCCTGACAGCCTTTCCTTTTTGTCCCTCTTGTGTTTCAGATTGAGAAAATCATGAGCTCTATTGGAGAAGGGATTGACTTTTCTCAGGAACAGCAGAAGATCTCAGGTACTGTACCAAGCAGCCATCTTCCCTGCAGAACACAGGCCTTCGGCTCCTTTCCGGCTCAGGTTTTCCCTCTGACACAGAAGCTGTCACTTAGGGAGTGAGGGAAGTCAGCCTCTGACCACATCATCCTCTTACAATTCAAGGTCTTAATTATCTGACAGTCCATCTAACTGTTATTTTTAGAGCCATGACTCCTTTTCCATATTGGAGGGGAATGTATACAAATTGAATTTCAGTCTGCCTAGTGAGAAACTATTTTTTTAATGAACAATTGTCACTCATAATCCTTTTCATAAATGTAGGTTCTCTGGATGGCTTAAATTGCACTACTTCTCAGTGTTGGTCTTTCCAGCTTCCCAGGCAGCTCTAGCACTAACTGTTCACTGGAACGTGGCTCTTGTTGGTCTAATTCATGACAGAGGCAGAGGGTTGGACCAGTGGCCTTGACTGTTAGTCTGCATCTCCTGAGGGGTCGGTTTTGCTATTTCCTCCTGTGTATGTTTCTCCATTTCTCCATTTAGTTACTCATCCTTTTTCCTTCAGATCACTACTACTTTGGGCTTTCCTTTCACCTCAGAGCCGTAGGGGTGAGGTCTGCCTGTTTCCTTCATTTGAAACCGGGGACCAAGGAGGCTATGTCTGAGCTGTTGTCCTTGATAATAGAAATGTGGTTGTGATACTTTCTTCAGTTGATGGCATCCTTAAAGGTGCCTCTCACAGCAGCTCTCACTCTCCTCCCCCAAGCATCTACAGGTCATCCTTCCCACCCCTCAACGGGGTCTGTGCCCCTTACCAAGGAAATGCCTCTCTGCATTGAAGGGGTAGACTTTCTTGCTTACTATGGAGGCTCCATCCAGGATTGACCTGTTAGCCCCAGTAAGATCTGCTTCCTCCGTGGACCTCTGGCTCTGGCAGGAAGTCTGATGAGTGGGGGGCAAGTGTGCGCATCATGAAGAAAGGGCCTGCTGTGGCCATGGGGCTTGTGAAGAGAGAACAGGCTCTAGAGCTTCAGTCCTGGGTTCAGTCCTGGTTCTAGACACGTGTGTGTCTTCGACAAGTCACTTAATCTCTGTGAGCCCCCAGTTCCCTATCTACAACATTGGGATGATAGTATCTACCTAATAGGTTTGTGGGAATGAATAATATATACAAATACTTGAGCTAAAGAGATACTCAATGTAGTAGCTATGCTTGTTTTCATCTGTGAAATGACTGCTAACGCGTATCGAGAAAGCTAGAGAAGAGGACACCTGTGCCGCTGGCTGTCTCCTGGCACCACTCTTCAGACTGCATTCCTGGGCCCGCCCCCAGCCCTCTGCTCCTTACCCCCCCGCCACAGGCTTATGTCCCTGGGTTCTAGCAGGGAGGGCCCGGCTGGGTGGGGTGTGTCTTTGTTAGCCCTGGATTACGGTGGGGTCTGCAGGGGGCTCTTCTGGCTAAGAGTTTATGGACCTGTTCCCAGGCAGTTGCTTACTCTCAGGCATGCGGTCGCACACTGTTTTAGTTTGCAGGCTTTACTTAGAGTCAGTGTTTGTGGGGAATAGAAGTTTAGGACTGAGACAATCACCGTTGCCATTTTCAAAGGTGTGCTTTGGGCACAGCCAGGAATGGGGTTGATAACAGTCAGTTCAGCTGAGGCCGAGTTTTGCTTCCCTGTACCCCTCTGGGTCAGAGGAGCCTAAATGACCTGTGTGTGCTTGAGACACAGGGTTTAGAAGCAGCCTTTCCTAAATCAGGAGATGCGGCAGCATCTCTGGAAAACACTCTTCTGGAAGAGCCCTTCTCCTTGGAGGTGGTGACATGGAGCTCTTTCTTTGATCTGCTGGCTCTACACCCAGTTCTTGCCCCCCATGAACTAGTGTGAATGCCAAGAGTTCATTGGTCCCGCTATCCCCCTAGGTTTCTGGATCCCAACACAATCTTGCTTTAGTATTCATTGAGTTGAATTACCCTCCATACCCCAGCTTAGGAAGCGAAGGGCAGGCACACAGGGGTGACCTCCTGAACAGATGGTGCGTCCACCCAAGCTGCTGAGCCCCAGGCCAGGCCGTGGTATGTGCAGCGGGGAGGCTCAGCCTGCCCCCCACACTGCTTTCTATCTAACAGTCAGGAGGGGCTTTCCCAGGACCACGAGGAGCACCAGCCTTCAGCCCAGACCAAAGCAGAATTCTTGTTTATTTTGAGTGATCACTATCAGGTGCAGATTGTCCTTGGGCTTCTGGATCTAGGAGAAGGGACCTGGGCTCTGGATTTGCCGGCCTGGCTGGGGAAGCGGGTTCCTCCAGCAGCCAGCCCTCAGCTAAAAGCACGGGATTGCACCCCGCCCCCGCCCCACCCATGTCCTGCAGGATGAGACCCTATTCGGCACTAGCTTCTCAGTCCTGTTTTGGGCCATGAGCCCCTGAGCTGCCAGCATTGGGCTAGTTACCTGAATCCACCGCAGCCCCTGCCAGGTGTGGTTTAAACTCATCCCACTGTCAGGAGTCCAGGAGGTCAGCCTTCCCAATGGCCCAGGCCTCTCTGGCCTTGTTCACCAAAAGCCTGTTTGTCAAGTAGAAGAAACTGCTTGGCTTTCTTTTGCTAAGGCCAGTCGCTTTAGCGGTCGAGTGGCAGCTTAACACCTGCCCCCCCTGAAGCCTCATCTCCCTGCACACAGAGCCCCTTCTGTGCCAGGACCACCCACAGCCTGTCCGATGCAGGTGTCCCCTAGCATGTTTGCAGGTTGCATGTGGTCCCTGGGTTGTCTGTGTACATGTTACTTTTTTGTCTCCACAGCTGGACTTGGGGTTTGGTTCTGGCCTCCCCTTGTCCTTGTCACCTCCCTCCCATGCCTTCTCCTTCAGATTGTGCCTGCCCTGCCCTGGGCCTGGCACCTCTCCCCAGTGCTCCGACAGGCCTGGAGGGGAGTCACTTCCTGGCTGTTTGGTGCGCTCACCTGGGGAATATCAGGTGTAGTGTCCTTACCTTGCTACCTGTGTTTGTGGTACCCATGACATATCTTCTTGGCAGAGGGGCACAGTCATTCCTTAAGTGGCAAGTGGGCTTTGTCTTTGGGGCTGTGTCATTCATTCCTCTGTCCCCTCTCTGGCTGTCCTGGAAACTGTCAACCAAAACTATATGAGTGTTCGTCTCTCTGCTCCCCGAGAAGCTGTCCTAGCCCCTTGAGCTGGAGGTAAAGTCTTGTCGTCTTTACCTTTACATTGGTGGGTGTGTCAGCCAACATCGGATGTTGGGGAACCTGTCATTTTGCTCTGGTGCTAGTGCTGCTGTGTCCTCCCCCTGAGGCGGCGGCAGCTTCTGTTTCGATGTCCGATCCCTGATGTATTTTCCTGAGCGTGGAGGGGAGGAGGAGGGGGAGGGGAAAGGGGGAGGACCAGACATTATGAGAGTGAGCAAGGTCTGTGGAGCTGGCAGCAGGCAGCGTGGAGCCCGAGAGGCTTTAGACAAAGCACTCCGCTGCGTTCTGTGAGCGCACACGTCCTCCGGCAGCCAGGGCTCCAGGCAGGAATGAATCAGCGGCTGGGAACACCTGACCTCATGGGCGGACAAGAGCCTGCTACTTAGGTCCCTGGAGCCGACAGCCCTGCTCAAGGGCAGGGGAGCCCCAGGCTCAGCATCTTGGAGCACTGCTACAGCATGCACTGGGAGGCTGCCCGGCTCTCTGGCCACCATCTGCTCAGCAGAGAGGACAGACAAGAAGGGGGGCCTGGGACCCTGGGTCACCAGGCTCCTAAAGAACCAAGCCAGTGGCCTTGGCCTGCCTGGCAGGCGGAAATGCCGGGAACAATAGAATGACTTTCACCGTGTCAAGAGTTCTCTGGAGGTGATGTTTTTACAGTTGGCTCTTCTTCTTTCCTCGCACCTTTCTCTTCCCATTTTCTTTTTCTTTTCTTTTTTTTTTTTTTTTTTCTTTATCTGTACTTACCTGTGAGCACTAGAGAAGTAGGTGGCGTTTAAGGCGTTTAGCTCAGGACATTCAAGGTCTTCCAGGGAGGGCCGAACTTCTTTCCTCCCTCACCCCGCCTCCCCTGCTCGATCTGAGGAGCATAGCAAATAGATGTCCTCCCTTCCCCGCTCGTCCTAGAGAAGATCGTCGGGATCCAGAGAACCTGGGAAGACACTTGCTGTCTTTATCTCTCAAAGAGAGAACAGCGCAGAATGTGAGTAGACAGGCAACCAGAGCTTGGCTGACAAAGGACCACTTCCCTTTGCTCTTCTCTGCTGGATTTTGTCATCTTTAGCCAAAAACTGGATCTGCCTGCCTGCTTTCCTGGCAGGCAGGTGAGTCACAGGAACAGCCACCATCAGAGGAAAATGAATGCCGAGCCCCTGCAAACCTACCCGGCCAGAGAACGCAGCTCTCTAGACAGTGCCGTGGCCCGGGAGACACCCTGCTTGCTGCTGGCACCTGGGGTCTAGCTGCAGACCCAGTTCCTGGCCCGCTGGCCGCACAGCCCAGTGGAGTGTGATGTCACCGTTCCAGCAGAGCCACTCAGAATGTGGTCCCTGAGCCGTGGCCCATGCACCCTGTCAGCTCCTCGCTGCCTGAGCCTCTGAGCACAAAGGGCCATGGTTTGCTTGTTCCGGGACTGCTGGGGGAAAACAAGTAAAAGTCTCTTTTCTCCCTGCCATGTTCGCTGCTTCTTGGGTTGCATGTGCTGGGTCCCTGTGAACAGCTGCTGCTTCCCTCCTGGAGCCCCCCCAGTGTGCCTGTGTCCCAGAGCTGCATGAAGATGTGTGTGCTGTCCTGACCCGTGTGTGCTGCAGGGGCGCAGGACTGGCCCCATGCTCATAGCTCCACGGGGCTCCCGGATGCATGGATGACAGGAGCTCACAGCCCCGCTGGTGCCCGTGGGACCAGACTTTGTGAACTACCTCAGTGTGAACACTGACAAGGAGTTGACCCAGAGATTGTTGGCGGTTGGCTTCGTTCCCACACCTGCCTGTCCCCGACTGGTGGGCAGAGGTCATGCATGTGCCCCGCAGCCTGGAGCAGCTTGGCTGAGGGGTGAGCAGGCCAGCCGCCCGAGGTTGCAGGTGTGTGCGAGGCCTGGCAGGCTGCCCTCAGCCCGCACACGGAAGAGGAGCTGCAGGTCCTCTGTTCTCCCGCTCTGGCCTTTTGTCCATAGTTTGTCTGCTTTATGGTAATGACTATGATGTGGCAGTGCCATCTGTCTTCATCTGAGTGCCGCTGCTACCGCCTTAACCGTTTTTCCCTTTTCAAGCGTCTGCCGATTCCTCTCTCGTCAGGTTCGCGGACGCTGGAACAGAGCGTCGGGGAGTGGCTGGAGGCGGTGGGGCTGCAGCAATATGAGAGCAAGTTGCTTCTGAATGGCTTTGACGATGTCCGCTTCCTGGTAAGTGCACAGGCCTCCTGGGGCGGGTGCCCCATGGGAACTGCTCCTGCTGCAGTTTCAGACAGTATGTAGAAGTGACTCACAGAGCCGGGAGTGTCATGTGTCTTCTTTCTAAACTCTCCCTCTCTACTGGGCTGTACAGAGAACTCTTTGCAAGTCTGCATCCCAAGAAGGAGGGTCCCTCCCCAGTCTCCCTCTCAAAGCTCAGGCCATGTGTTGTGTGATGTGGCATCAGGCCATCTTGTTCCCAGTCAGACACCAGAAGTTTTGGTGGACAGGACAGCCAGGTCCCTGTGGTGTCTGCCCTATCCTGTCTTAGCTGGATACCATAAGTTTCTTTTGTCCTCCAAAACGTTGCTATCAAGCAAGTCACATGTCTGGCAGAAAGACCTCTTTGCCCAGTGTCTGGGTGGCTGCAACAGCCTCAAGTGCCCATCCATGTGCCCACGGCCTCACAGATGGCCCAGAGAGGCTGCTTGTTTGAAGGACTGGTTGCTTTTCTGAAGTATAATTTTATACAAAGAAGAAAAGTCTAGGTGTCTTTTCCTCAGGCTCCCTGTGGAGTAGGGGCTCCCTCTGACAGTCTGGAAGTTGCTGAGGACAGGGTGCCTGCAGTGACGATCCCTCTCCAGGAAGCCCTCCCTGAGACTCCCTCGTGGGCTGGCCAGGGCAGCACAGCCTGCGCACGGCTGAGCCAAGGGCTTCGGCTCCCCTCAGAGGCAGCACTGGCGTCCCCTGGGAGGCATTTAGTGGCAATGCCAGTGAGAGCTGGCACTCCTCTGCCTCCTGAGTGCTGGGCACCGTGGGTGCTGGTGCGCCTGTGTCAGCTCCTTGAACCGCAGCCCAGCAGCCCTGAGATGTGTGCTAGTATTATCATTTTCATCTTCCAGATCCAGAGCAGTTAAGTGGCTTGCTCTTGTTCACACCACCAGTGATTGGCAGCATGGGAATGTGCACCCAGGCACTCTGGGTCTGAGGGCCATGTTCTAACCACGATACCACACAGGGTCTTTCCCACATCTGAGGATGTGGGGAGTGGCAGTGTAATCATTTCCGTGCTTTAAGTCACCGTGTCCATGTGTCACTTCAGGTGCTTGGTTTGAGGTGAATTTAGCCAACCTTCCTTGCCCCTGCCCTTCCTTGTTCCCTGGCAGGCCTGTTGCCTGCTCTGCCAGTTCCTGGGAGCACCATCCTGGCTTGGCATTGAGTTGCCTTTCCTCTCTGACGCAGATCTCTCTCTGTGCCCACCTCCCTCCACTGCCTTTTGAGGGGCAGTGGCGAAAGTCAGCCTAGGGCTCCTACCTCTGCCCTCACCTCTACAGTGTGGGTCTCTGTGGGATTCCCACTGACGGGGCTGCATCTGGTGCCTCCCAGATGCCCAGGGACCTAGCCTGGGCTTCCAGGAGGGGCCCTGAGTAGGACAGCTTGCCATACCTGGGCCATCTTCATCTCCAGGGCAGAGTGTGAAATTTACAGCAAGCCACCTTTCCAAAGCCTACTGAAGGCCAGTTATTTTTTAGCTTTAAAAAAAATTAGGTTTTAAAATAGCAATTTTTTAAAAAGTTAAACTGAGTATATTTATAGTTCTTTAAACCTAACCCCCTGACTCACCACGTTCCTTAGGAAAGGCCGACAAACCCAGAACAGAGGTGTGGGTTCAGCCAGTGAGGGGGATGAGTGGCCCCTGGCACTAATGTAGCGGGGCCCCCTCTCTGTACATACCCTTTCCTTAGACTGGCCATCAGGCAGGTGAGGGAAGGTAGCCGTGGACTTCATGTGTCCCCTCCCTGTGCTTCAGTATTTTAGAGGCTGAGCTCTTGACTTCTCGCTCCTCCTGCTAATTTTGGAAAGGTGAGATTCCCAACCGTTGAATATCAAGGCGCCGTTAAAACCGCTCCCCTGCCCTTCCTTTCGCTCCCTTCCAGCAAGTCACTGGACAGGCATCTGGGGAGATATGGCCCTGGCCCAGACATCCATTCAAGATGCAGGCCTCTGTTAGAAAGGGTCTGTTCCCATTTGACAAGGGCCCTCAGTGAGGGAGGCCAACAGCCCCATTTTTCCAGGACCCTTCCAGGTTCCCCCAGTGGCCCTGGGTACAAGCTGTTCCTCATGACTTCTCTTGGTTCTGCTGGGCAGCTGGTAGGCAGAGTCTGCCCAGGGACTGCTGATTGCACCTCACCCAAGTGTGTTAACATCACTTACCTAGAGTGGCCTGAGTAGCCATGCAAAGCATCCTGGGTAATTGCATGTAAATTGCCAGGTGGGCTGTAAAGCTAATTAAGTTTTAGCAACCAGGAAAAAAGAGGAAAACAACACACGAGAAGGGGGCGATTGTTGTTTAGAAACATTGCATATGATATATAACTTATGTCACGTTAGCTATGGTGTATCCCTGTGTGGTTTGGTGTTTAGCGCTGCAGTTGTCTCCCTTGCTTCTGAAATGCCCTGCAGACTTCTACAAGGTGCACAAGTGGCTCCCAGGAAACCAGGCTCTAGATATAGTGGGAACACCTGGAAACAGGGTGTTTCTCAGACAAGAAGCACTGCTATGGGACTTCTCATGACAGGGTCCTAAAAGCTTGTTCTTATGGAATGCAGAGCATTTGTGGGGGCACGCAGCTCCCTTTCCAGCTCCTTCTCTGGGTGGACTTGAACATCATGTGATCTACCGTATTTTGCTGTGTATAATGCGCACCTTTTTGCCCAAATTTTTGAGGGAAAATAAGGGTGTGCATTATACATGGGTAGTACTAACTCTATCTGCCTTCTATGATGTGTAAATATCATAAATTTGTTACTAGTACATAAAATTTCCTGTACCTTGTATCTTTTCCTATGTTTTATAATTATTTGCTACATAAAATTTCTTATACCATCATATCTTCAAAAGTAAATGCTAAAATTCCTTTATAATACAAAAAATCTACATAGAAATAAATTAAAAATGAATTAAAAAATTAAAACAAGAGATTCTTTTCCTGAAAGTCTGGGCAAAAAACATGGGTGCACATTATACACAGCAAAATACGGTAATTATCCCCTCTGCCTGAACCCCTTCCAGATAATCTTTGATGTTTCAGTGATGGAGATTCACCACCTTACAAAGTAGGAGCCCATTTATGTTTTTCATCATGTGAGCTGATTTAGAACATTTTCACATTAAACAAAAATGCATTTCCTCATGACTTCTGTCCCTTGTTCCTGGGTGTACCTTTTGGGGACACAACAGGACATGCTCAAGCCCTTTAGAAAACCGAGATCTCTGTCATAGCCTCCTGGGTCCTGTCTTGTCTAAGCTCAGTACCCTCTTTCTCTTGAGTGCTTCCTATGATATGATTACTGAGCTAGACAAGTGAGCACTGCAACTTGAACTTTATTCACACTCCTGCCTGCAGGCAGAAAGGGCCACCGATTGGTTAGGGGTCAGAGTCCGGGCGGCAGGGGCTGCCACCTGCTCCCTAGGCTGGTCCCGGGTTGACACCAGATGGGCGAACTCACTACACTGGCTCATGCATCAGAGCCAGTTCCATTCTTTACCACAAATCTTGTCCACAGGAAATGGGCTTTCTTAGGAAAAGGAAGAAGGTAGTTGATAGCTGTCAAGTTTATAGTTCTAAGCACGCTGGTACAGGTCTGCTTATCTGGGGACTCAGCCTGACCTCCCTTCATGGAAGTGTTAAGTAAATGATGATGTCCCTAATGCTGGAGTATTGTGTGGACGTTATAAATGTTTTTGAAGAATGTCTGATGTGGGAAAACACTTGCCTTGGATTGTTGAGGAAGAAATCAAGACACAAAAATCCATATGCAACATGAGCTTGATTTTCAAAAGAGGAAATGTCTCCCAGGGGGGTTACGGGCAGCTTCATCTTCTTTTTTGAAGTATAATAGATTTCCTGCCTTTTCTACAATGAATGTATCTGACATCAGAAAAGCAAATAATGTAGGTATCTTAAGGAAGTCGATGGTGCAGCTGGGAACACAAGGCACATAAAGCAATAAAAACAGCAGCCTGGCCAGGTGTTAAGTGCAGTGGTGGGACCTGTAAGCAGCAGCACAGAGGGGCAGAGAATCTACTTCACCGAGTATTTACCATGTGCCACCGGAGCGGGCCCACAGCCCTGGGGGACTGTCAGCCGGGTCACAGGTGAGTGCTGAGGCTGAGCTGAGGGTGGGGGCACTGCCAGTAGGTGGCACAGCCAGGACACTAGCCCAGATCTGCCCACTTTGAACCTCCGGTTACACTCACTGTCCTGGGCGTTTTTCAAGGCTGTGGGACTTGGAAAGATGCAGGGGATGGAAAGGCTGGTGAGAGGCCTGCGCTGTCTGCAGTGAGTGAGGAGGCCAGCTTGAATGTAGTGATGGGCAGGAGAGGTGGGCGCGGCTGGACTGCAAGGGGTCTTGACAGCCACACTGTGGGGGTGGGGAGAGGGGGTCTTCTGGTTGTGCTGCTCATCAGGCAGAGAACCCCTGCATCCTTAAGAGTGGGCACATGGTGGATGGTCACATGGAAGGACGGACAAAAGGAAAATGGAAATGAGTCTGGCAGCAGGCGCAGGATGAGCAGGAAGCAGAGGCTGAATGGGCAGCCTGTCGCCTCTTAGAGCCCGCATCAGGGAGGCCTTGTGCTCCTCCCATCCATTTATTTCTCCACAGGTTCCTGCCACAGACAGATAGGCTCCCACTGTTTTCCTGCCTGTTTCTGAGACTGTGCCAGCTTGTTACCACATGTTGGAGGGAGATGACAAGTGAAGAGGAGCAGCTCTAAGAGCTGAGAGGCATAAGTCTGGGAGCAAGTCCTCCTTTTCTGGCTTCCATGACGTTTTCCAGCCAGGCCCCAGACCCCCTGAGCTTCCCTTCCTGCACCTGTCCCCAGATTAACACCTCACTCCTCAGCCCGGAAGCCACTTCGTGTGCACTGGAGCAGCGTTTGCCCTTGGCTTCCTATGCCACCTCTTGCCCTCCTCCTCCGTCCTGTCCTTTGCCTCCTTCCCTCCCAG